TGCACCTATAAAGTTTTGGCTTTAATTTAAAACGACCTAATCATCTCATACTGCTTGGCCAAAATTAAAGCATGACGTAACGCTTTTTTCCTAACAATAGAGCCTGAAAGTGAAGGTCACGGAAGCTTGAAGCTTCCAAACCCTGACGCGGTCTGCCTATCGGGATTTTACACGAGGATGTCCCATCACGTTCTATAAACTTTGGAAGAATGATTTCCAACTGAAACAATCAATGAAGCCCTCATGCTGGAATTTTGTCTCTGTCTTCAATAAAGTAGTATTGCGGAAAAAATCGTCTAGAAATGGGTTAAAAACGAATTTCATTAATTGCCTTTCACTTCTGGCAATATAGTTCCTAGGTTATGTTCATGAGCGTTTTTTTATATTTAAAATAAAACAGATCAAAAATATTAAGGGTTGTTTTAATTTATAAGGAAATAAACTGAAAGCAATGATCTGCTTGTACGAAATATTCTGATGTTTAATTTAACCTTTGAAGACAAGAACTGCGTCAGGTTAACTCGATTGGATCTAGAACCCATCTAGTGCAGGTATAGTAAAATCTTTGCAACGCCGTACAATTTCGTTTTTACGTAAGCAGCAAATCGGAAAACACTGAACATGCAAAGGGTGGAGTTCTAACAAAATCTGTAAGTTTCGTTGGAAGTTCCTTTTTATAATATGATAGGCTGGATTTCCGGTAGCTGAAAATGACCCTGATGTGGACTTTTAATATTTCACACGCAAAGGACCTTTCGGTCTTTGCAACACGTTGCTGTTTTCTTTTTCTTTTTTTTCTTCAGAATTTGGCCCCAGAAACATAAAAACACAATTTTGTAACATTTAAAATTACAACTGTCTGTCGGTAAATGTGCATCCCCCCCTCAAAAAACTAAAAGTATATTTTTAAAAAATGGGGAAGAATGACTTGGCTACGTATTTAATCCGTGATCACGTTATGAACAATTAATGCCAAACCACACGTTTAAAAACTTCGGAAAAGCAAGAGAAGAACTTCTAATCGAACATAAAATTACACCAAAGTAACACCACTCTTCAGCAGACGCTCATACTTACCACGGACAGATATTATCCCGGACAGCCGCAACCCATTCATCAGCGCCTCGTCTCCTTCGCTTGCTTGTCGGAGTGGAACCTACAACTTGTGTCATACAAACAACACAAAGAACCATCCACACAATGGACATGACTACCAACACACAACTCCCGGTGCTGGTAGAAAATGAAAAGTTCCAAATTGCCCCCTTGTTTTGAACACACTGAAGAACCGTCAGGAAAAGTTGGATTGACAACACAGCAATAACAGTTATGGAATTCCCTTGACAAGAGAATTTTCAATTTTCGAGATTGTTTGTCATACTTTATGTATATTCTCAGGTGGTTAGGGTTTTTTCGAGTCACTCAGATCGTGTGGTAATTATTCATTGTCATGTGTGTGTAGCTATACTTTTCGATGAGTTATTCTGTGATATGTCATGAGATATTTCCTGCCATGCTATAGGAAACGGTTGTCTTTCCGATCTACCATATGATGGAAATTCCTTTCAAACATGGGCAGGTCAAGCCAGACAAATGAGGGGAGCTCACAATTTATTACAGTATCGATAATCAGCTGGCAGGGGTCAAATGTTCTGCGAATAAAGGCAAATTTATAAATAAATAGGTAAAGAATTCGGCCCAGAACATGTATCAGTCGCTGTAAGATACCAAATTACAGACAAACACACAAAGAGAACAACCAAACTGACGACTTCAATGACAACAATCTGTTAGCTGATCAGATCATTTTGCATCCTTACTTTGCTGCAGTGGACCTCCCAAGAGCCTGAGAGTTGACCCCAGTGACGTGCTTCCGGACCCTTGGATAACGTGCAACCTTTTTAAACTAGTCATTTTCCCGTTTTTTACTCATTAAAATGTTCACCTCGGGAAAAGGCCTTTGTAAAATATTTGCCAGCATATTGACTTATTGAAAAAACCTAAAAATGAACTGGCCTGAAAGAGAAATATCCTGCATGCCAAAATGTGACCTCTCACTGCCGAAAATCTAAACTACATAAAGACCAGTACAACTCGGTGGTCTCTTAGGCCTACGTAGATAGTTACAAATTTAGCTTGTGTGATAGTCTTTCGATTTAAGCTAAAATAAATACAAATCAAAATATTTTAATCATTTACAATTATAAGGAAATAAATGTAAAGGAATATCATCTGTGTGTACAACAGATTCTGAATTTAAATCTAACCGACTGCTGACGACAAGAACGATGTCAGGTCAACTAGACTTGAATCTAGAACCCATTGACTGCTGTTAGATAAATCTTTGCGAAGTTATACACCAAAATATTGCCTGGGTTAAATTTAACCCAAGCGAGAATGAAAACTGCAACTACCATAGTTTAGGTTGTTTCAACCAAATTTGGGTGATTGAATTAATTTCTGTTTTGTTTTAATTAAATTAATTAAATAATCAATTAGCCAAGCAATGGTTAACATCCATTAATTTTGCAGGTGAAAATAAAACAGAGAGTAATTCTCAACCCAAAGTTGGGTTAACACAGCCCATATTTGGTGGCAGTTTTCACCCTTTCTTAAGTGTACATCGTTTTCACGTAAGCTCATGAAGCAAAACAAACGTGCATAAACAAGAGGACATAGGAACAGCAGTGCCGGAAGCAAAGGTCGTTAATTAATTTCAATTTTTTTTCTCCAATTTCCAGGTAACTTTTTTTAAAATGGAGAGACACAAGGTTAAAACGCCGACATCGGTGTACCATAGGGTGGTTTCAGTTTAGGAATTATTATGCCAAAAATCATCCAAAGTGATAGGACAAACCTATAATTCCCATAGTCAGACCCCGCGCGGGTTCCGGAAGCTGGCACCGTGACCTTTTACTACCACGCTGTATCCTTTGCCCCTTTAAAACTCTGTTTTTGATGGAAAGGATAATGGTATTTTTGTTGACTCTTGTTCAAAAGCGGCCGCTCCTGTTAAAGTAGCGGACGGATGGATGTGACTTTTAACTTTTGTGTCGCACCTATGTAAGCCTAAGTGGGCGAGGGGGGGATGGTATAGCCAAGCCTTTGTGTCCCATAAACCATAAAATCAAAACAAGCACGAGGAAATCAGGGGAAAGAATGGGTCATGGCAAGGGTTCCATCTAGTTTTAGCAGAAAAGGAAGAAAAAAAGGCTGTGTAAGTGGGTAAAGTACCCACGTATTCTAGTCTGAATTTTGTCTATATTTGACAGACAGGAATAAATACCATGGTAACGCAATTGGAATGCCCGTCCGTTCTCACAAAACACTCACCTGTGTATCGGTTAGATTGGTAGGTAATCACTAACTGCACGCTACTGACGGCTTACAGCTAGTGATGTCATTTCAATAAATGGCTATCGAATTTAGACAGAGGGCGGGCGATGGGGGGAGGCACATGGAATCTCCCAACTCTGTAGGATACAACCAAATTCAAGTTCCTTTGGGGAATTAAGACTTTAAAATGATTTAGGAACCACATTTAATCAAGATGCATTTATCTACAAGACAGTGAATACAATTTACTGTTCTCTTTTGGAAGATCCCCCATCGCCCCGCCCTCTTGCCTCTCCCTCCTTCACAACTGATCTGTTTGTAACCTATAAACTTTCTATGAATCAATCAACCGACTGTCGGCTTGCATGACGTAGTTTCGTTTCCCTTCTTTCCTTTTCAGCACTCCCCGAAATATGAAACAAAACGAGAAAATACACTGCAGATTAAGTGAAACAAGCGATTGTACTTAATACAAAAATCAATCAAGCGCAAGTAGATACTGGTCGTTAACGCGACACTCAAAATAAGACCAAAGAAAATTCAATTCAATTTTTGGTCATACATTGTTAACATACATGAAAAATGCGTTGAACTCGCTATAAGTACTAACTCTTATAACATGAACTAGAGATATCCGATAAATACATAAAATAGTCTTACCTACTAAAACGCAATCGAGTTGGGGGTAAGATGTACGAACAGTTTAGATATCGATAATTGAACCACAATTCTGTTAGCCAGCAGTGGACGTAGTTCAGCATATCAACAGAATAAAGACGTCATGAAGAATAAGCTACACTTACATTTGAGTTTAGATTAAAGTGTCAAATTACAACGTGACAGGCATGGACAGAAAGATTAGTGCGCGTATATACATATGCATAGTTTAATATATATGTCTGGACCAATAATGGTTTTGAATGGAGGACAGGCCTCCCCAGCCCGACAATCTGCCTTTCCCATGTTCTGTCGGAGTCATAATAAGTCTAACTTATCCAAATTTCCCAAAATGTATCTGGTCCTAACTTTTTTCAAACAGCACAGATCACTGGTGCTTGATGAGTTCAACATCCATTAAGGACAGGACGGAACACAAACAAGGAGAGCTAGGCCTTTATACGTGTTTTATAACTGACTTGGGCAGAAGACAATTAACTACATTATATTCAAGCGCTATAGCTTTATTAATATTGAGATTCCATACAGCAAACATCTACTGTATGCAAACGCACATAGGCATTATAGAAGGTCCGACTTTGAACACAAGTCAAACGTGTTGGACAGAAAATAGCAGGAAATGCTGTTAAACAAGTTTATAGGCTGAATTCAGTTAGGAATAATAGTCGATACATAATTGTACATAGTATGATTACCATGGTCGTTTTTTCACAAAGTAAAGCAGTTTTGTGCAAGTAAATGGGTACTTAAGCCTTCAAGTTTGCGAAGTAGTCGTATAGTGTACGTTCCAGCTGAGCGTCGTACGAACAATACACACAGTTATCTGGCAAGCATGCAATATAGTACACGGCGCCGTTTGTTAGACGGGCACATCAACAAGACAACTATGTCTTTAAAATAACCTCGCATATCTTTTAGAGAATTGTCTATGTTATCCTTTAAATTCTATAGATTTAATTCAGAAATACGATAATGGACAAAAATGCAATTTTCATTGATAATGTACGCGATGTACGCGTTTCTCCGGGATTGGTGGCAACATCTATAAAGGGAAACAATCGTGAATTTTTATAATGAACGATCGTCACTTCAACAATACATTTTACCTGCCAATCAACTGAAGGAAACGAAGAAAACTCTCTTCCTGCCTGCGAATGTAGAGAGTTTCAAGACTGGTATTTGGTCAAAAACTGATTTTACATTATCACTATTCAACATGCTGTAATGTGACGGTTTCTTATAACAAACGTCAACAGGTGTGCTCCACAAAGCTTGGNGCCACTGGTTTGTAAAAAAAAAAGTGCTGTTGGTCGGTATTAACAGCAAAAGTTGGTAACAGTGCTGCAAACCCCGAAGAGCTCCAACACTAAGATCGTGCCTTAGGGTTAATTGGTTCTCATATCACTCTCAGTATTCGGATAGTTGCCCCGGGCCCCCTTGCCTAAGCCACTGGTTTGTAAAAAAAATGTGCTGTAGCGGCCAAACTCATTTTTTTTATTTCTAACCGATTGAGGGCGCTATAAGTGGGGACAATAAAAACAGCACTGAAAGTAAGATGGCTCCATCACGTTTTGCATCTGATAGATTTTGATTCGCCCATCCTGCCGAAGTTTATTAAACGGTTAGAGCTCATTATTCTCAGGATTCTCATATTAAATTAAAGAATTTGATTAAGTACTCACTGGGTTATTTATAGTCTTGTATAAGCCGAATCTCACTCACTTAGGCCATGCTGTTACATCGGTGGAATACTTTATTGTAAATGGTAAATAATACAGATACGCACATGGGGGCCCTTCATATTGGAGCTATAGTCAAAATTATTGGGTTTCGTATTGTCTAACTTAAATATTGGGCATCATACTCTTTTAGAGGAACTTAGATACATGTATTAGTGTCACTTAGATACACCTAAGTGCAAGTAATAATTGAGGTCGAAGTAAACATTGGATGCATGTATATTTACATGTTCAAAGTGGACACACATACATGTATTATTATCACCTAGACGTCGGATGTACCGTACTCATGATTTCTGTTTTATTTTAATTTTATTGTAGTCAATCTGTTCCTGTGCATCAAGCTGTTTACATGAACAAGAAGAGAAGCATTAAACATCTGGATCTGAAGTGCACACTATACATGTACAGCATTGCGTGTGTATCCTTTGGCAGATTCAAGTGCTCTTGGTCGGTATTTACAGCAAAAGTCGGTAACAGTGCTGCAAACCCTCTAAACACCAAGACTGTGCCTTAGGGTTGGTTCTCATATCACTCTCAGTATTCGAAAACAGAGCGTTAGCAAAAGATATGGAATGTCTCGGAATGTCATTTGAAATACTTTTATGCTTACCGTATCATCATCTACAAGTTAAACAATGCTGCGATTTTCATCAGAAATTAACACACAAACGAAAAAACTCCTGCTCTTTTAACCGCCCGAAAATCTTACAGTTCCATAATGCAAAATATGTGGAATCACCTAATGTAAGCAAACACGAAATAGACATTTTGGAGGTTTGACATTGAACAAAAGGTCCAACGTCAAACATCTTTGAGGCAGGAAATACTGTATACAAATTCATATGCTAAATTCAGCCAGGAAAAAATAGTCAATTGTGTAATTTGCATGGTGGACCTTTTTCACAAATCAAAGCACGTCTATGCACTGAAAGCCTTAGCGAAGTAGTTAAGAATTTTACATGCAAATGAGCAATAATACACGCAGTGGTTTTGGAAACATGCGATACCGGTAGCAATACATGTACCTACAATGGAATAAATATCAACAATTCGTCTAACGTTACCCCATTTGGTTTGTAAGAGGGGAACATCAAAAACACAACTACTCTTTAAGACAATCATGCGTATCTTTTAAAGAAGCACCTTTGCTACCATTGCTGCCTAAGTTCTATCAATTTAAACCAGACATACAATGACAGAAACTAAAGCAATTTTCTGATTCATTTATTTACAATGTACACAATGCGATAAGGTGTCTCTGGGATTGGGGGAAAATATATTCAGTGAAAAAAGTTGCGTAGTGAACGATCCTCACTTCAAACAATACCAGAAAACTGAGTCTACAGTTCGCCTTCCAAATGAACTGAAGGAAACGAACCAAAAACTCATTCTGGCTTAGCCTTGTGATCTGTCGAAAAGTAATGTATCATGATCATATTCGACATGCAATAACGTGATGGTTTCTTCTCGCAAAAGTCAACAGATACGTAATTCACATTAATTCTCTCAGTTGGATACCTTTTTTTACTCTGCATGTTTTACAAAGCTCGGCATCTTTGAATGCATGAAACCTTACGATGACTTTTATCGGTGACAAGGCCGTTGTTACCCAACGAAGAGGTCAACTTAAAGTGAATCCTCTCTGAAGGTTTTCAGAGAATGATTGTTATAACGTGATATACTGTAGAGTTAAAAGTGCCAAATTGTGACTTAAATATTTTTCAAAAATTCTGCCCAAAATGTGGCCCATATCAAGATAATGATAATCATATCCCGCCTCGAGCTCAATCATTCTTGTTACATGGACGAGTTTAGAGCGACTAATATAATATTTTTATCTAATTGACATCCTGGTGTTATTGTCCAAGCAATGAATGCACTGTAAATATTTCTAACAAGTGAATGTCTTATTTACTGACAAAGTTCAACAATTTTGTGGAGAAACTTAAAAACCCTTAAATCATGTGTATCATTTTTCTTATTTTGTATTAACTTCATGTAAAACAAAGATGTTCAATTCCAAAGTGTCAATCTTTTTCCACACACTCGATAAACAGCTTTATCATGGGGTATTTTTCAGACTCAGTGCGGTGTACGTATTTGCTCTCCCAAGCCCGACCGGATCCAAAGCCTGATAACCCCCGTCATTCGACGGGCCTTGCCCGTGTGTGATGTTCTCAGCACGCACTAGTGAAAAAGTACCGGGACCACGATGACGAGCCGAGGGAACCTCATAGTCGCAGACATCCTCGGTGGCCACCAGAGGATCCTTGTCACGATTGACCTCGCCCCGCTGTGATGCTAACGCGGGACAGGGATTGGGAACAGAGGGAACCTCGGCATAGTCGTAAACATACTCGGTAGGGATTGAAGTATCTCGATCAGGTTTGACTGGACTGTGAGATTCCTGACCCCCATTGGCCTGTGCCGATTCTGGACCGGGATGAAGATTAGAGGAAATCTCTGCATAGTCGTGGACATCTTTGGTAGAGACTGGAGGATCGCTGACAGGTTTGACCCGACCCAGAGATTTCTGACCTTTTTCTCTTCCTGGGCGTTTTTCCCCGAAGTTACCGTCGTTCTGCTGCGGAACTGGTTTAATGTTTTGCTGAATTATGTGGCGCTTCGCAAAGATTGTTTTATTCACATAGGACCGATCTTGCTCTGTATCAACAGCCAGCTGCTCGAAATTCTTTTCAACTACATCATCATAACCAGAAAAACTCGGATCGTCATCAGATGGTGCTACCTGCTTGGGATTATTTTGAACCACAACATCATCATAACCAGCAATACTCGGATCGTCATTGGACGGTGCTGGGTGAACGGATGGAGGGCCATGATTAATCTTTTGTGCCATACTTTTTGTTTTTGTGCTGTGAGACTTGAGAGTCAAACCCAGGTCAACGGGGACATTGGAAACAGTGGTGTAGTCATGCATGTCAGTTTGGGACTGGTCTGAAGTATTGTCATAAAGTTCCAGGTATTCAGAAGACGGTTGGTGACTGTTACTGGTGGTGGGTTCCACAACATTGAGATTTTCGCGTCGCTGCAACAGGATCAGGGCACTCGTAACCGCTGTTGCTATTGTCTGGACGAGCGCCATCAGCGGACACGACGGGCGGAGTTCTCAGTCTGGCGCCCGTTGACACAACGTCACTACTAGTAATGTTCATCCTCGCTGTCAGTAAAACAAAGAAAAATAAAATGTTATTAGTGCTTTCAGGGGAGGCTACTTCAAGACGTTCCGGGTGTTAAATCCAACTGCACCTCATGTCTTGATGTTTGCAAATTATTTTTTTGCAAAATCTTTATTGGTGCATTGCGATGCACCAACCTAATATCAGTCTACCAAAAGTGTGTTTCTATTACTTTTCAAAATCAATATAGCGACCGGAGCATGATAGGTGTACGAAATGACGAACATTTACTTTTCTTACCGGGAGAGTTCCGATGAAGGGAGAGACGATTGATCGCTGCATCCACTCTGCTCAGAAAATGAGATATGGAAAAAATCAAAACGACAGTTAAAAAAATATTGGAAAAGAACTTTGAAATTAATATCATACAGAGGAAAAACTGACAAATGGACGTTCAAAACTAATCATGCATTTGCAACAAATCTTAAATTGAACTGTTCACAGCATTTGCTTTCCTAACATTCATAGGGATCTTTTTTCAATCCATTCATCTAATCAGTTCAGGTTACGGCATTCCTTGCTCTTGTACATCTACCAGGCCATCATTGCCTAAATTTCCTCATTTAACATTTTATGTCCTCTCAGAGGGGTGGGATAAATTTTGATCCTTTTTACACGCGTGCTGTGGGTTTTTCGAAGCAAAGTCACAGTTCATAACTCGTTTTATTTATATTCATTTTTATTCATAACTAGTTTTCAAAACTTTGCTTCTAAGAAAAGAGAACGAGAACCCCCCCGGACCCTGTTGACCACGCCCCCTCCCCATCAGCCAGTGGAATTGGTTGACTTTTATTCTACAAAATCTGTTTTCACGCCGACAAGAATTCACGGCTGATCGGACCATTGACGCATATTTTCTACTCTCTCTTCCTTATGTAGCCTGGGCGGGCTAGTAGAATATTCTTTGACACTGTGAGTCTACATTGCCACCAAATTAGCTGCAATTTGTTATTTTTGGAGATTGAATTGTCTTTCTTATATCACATCATTTACTGCCTTGATCGGTGCTTATGCTCGTTCTCTAAGAATGTATTGAATTAGTCTGGAAACAATTAATTCGAACGAATTATTTCAAAAACACGATTTTCAGTCAGGAAACTCTTGCTCTTTGAAACTGTTGCAAACTTGTTTGAAATTGCGAATTATCACAAAACCTGGAATGAATGTGCTTTACAGTTATTTTTATAAGACTGTTTTTCTGATGAGTCGTTTATGTGCTTTGTTGAATACACCTTCTGGACAATCGTCAACAAGAGGAACTTCTACGTTTAATTAGGAAATAGAGGAGCGCGGTTGTACAGTTTTGGTCAAGAGCAGAATGTATATTGCATCCAAACTTATGAGGATACCTTTTGTGGGCCCTACGATTCACTTGAGAAGAGGCTTTCCTGGACCGTTGACTTCGTGTGAACAGCGCCACCAGCAAGATTAATAGGATCAGTCCAAGTGCTGCAATACTGGTATAGAATGGAGCGCTCTCAGTGAGTGGCATTGGTCCCAGGG